CCCCCCCCCCCCTCCCCAGGGACCCTCTGGTAAAGTGACGGTATATGAAAAAAAAATGTTTAGGAAGGTGATATGCTGAAATAATAAAGCAGATTTTTTTTGTAAATTTAAATATCTAAATCTCAACTAGATGTTCTGCTAAAGCAGAGCTCCGTGGGAACCATACATTTTACAGTGATAACCAGACTCAAACTAGTTCAATGAACATTAGACATAGCAATTTTACAGTGTAAAAAGACCCATTTCACTTAAATGGTGCTTTGCTAAGTTATTAGTAAAAATAATGTTTTGTAACAACATTAAAACACTTAATATTGCTAAAAAGTCGTATTTCTATTCCATTGTTTTCTGGTCTGCAATCTACATCAGCGAGCTATTTTTGTTTTCAGACAAAGAGTGATAATTTAATAAAACATTGAAATTGTTTTTAAAAACATAAATCTTTTTTTATTTCAATAATGCTTATAATTAGTTTTTATTACAAAAATATATGATGAGACTTTTTGACTCTTCTCTAAACTCTCAAAACTCTTGTTGTTATGACCCCGTCCCCCCCCCCTCCTCCCTTCCCTGGTTCAAGAAAGATTTTAGAAATCTTAAAATTTTAATATTTTAAAGACTTTGAATGTCGTCAAATTGGGTTCTAAAAAGACGACATTATATTTTTATCCATGAAATATACAAGGTTATACCCACAGAAACAGGCAGACGAATTTTTGCAGACATAAGATCCTCAGATTATCTTGATAATTTACAAGTAAATAGTAAATCTATTTGCTTTGTTACAACATCAGATACACAAAAGTATGGTTGTAATGTCGTCTTCCTATTCCAGAGCTCTGATTATTACTGTATACAACCAACTATACAGAATTCAGTCTTATTTCTTAAACTTTTGGTAAGTTTCAATTCCTGATTTATTTTTTAAATGATTTAAGTCTTGTTGAAGATTGAGAGTATTTACTTATATAAAGACGAATTTGTTTCCTTATATTTTTAATTCCCGGCAACTGTAAACGTAACTTTCTTTTTTGCTCAATTAATTATCCTAAACAGGCTGGGGGGCCGGGGGGGGGTGTTTGGCGCCCCCCCCCCCTGTAGTTTGTTGTCTTAACACTCTCATTTTTGACACTATCATCGTGCAATTTTGTGACTTTTAATGAATAGTAATTTAAAGGATTTTTGTAATTGTTTTTTTTAATGCATAGGGTTTGGTACAGGTCGGAAAAAAGTCCGATCTTTGGAGAAAAAAATCTAAAATAGCCCATAACTTTTTTGTGACTAAAGCTACAGAAATAAAAACTATATTTTTGAAAAGCCCTTTACAAATGAATAAAGAAACATGCGTCACACAATTTGATATTTGTTGAAAACAAAACAAAAATATTTTTTTTCTTTTTCTGACTCTTTTTTTGGCATTTTTTCAACCCTTCCTAGCACCCAAACTATTAAAGTTATCGGTCTAATTTTTTTCAATGAGCTGGCATTGGCAAAATGGGCACATGCATGCACATGCACATGCATTTCAACCCTATAACTATTTTCCAAGACTTTTTAAATGGGGGGGGGGGGCAAACGCCCCCCAGGCTATACATAGATTCAGAGCCCCCAGCCTTTATAGGGTTAAAACAAAAGTTTATATTCAACATTTTCATCCGGCTGTTATAGCCAAGGAACGGGTTTATTTTACCTAATGCAATTCCAAAGCATGCAAGAAAAACAAATTCCGAGTTCAACCGCCAGGCCTAAATGACAAACTTCAATCATATCATATCTTGCTTTTATTTTTGTGCCACAAAGTTCAAATTTGTGGTCACCGATCATGGAAATATTACTTATATTTCGAAAAAACAACGTAAGCACCAGCTTAAAGGGAGTGTTCGCGAAAAATGAAAGGGGGTATAGGCTTAATGCGAGAAAAAAGCGCTTTTGATCGCTACTAATCTTACTTCTAGCTGTTGCGTCTACAAGGAGAAAATTGTTAAAAACGACAAAAAACCGAAAAACGTAGTGTCCATTCAAATTCAGACAGATGCAACATACGACTTAGACCGTAAAAAAATCTATTTAATTTCAAACAAATCATTCAGATATTACAACCTATAGTCATCGATTATCTTTCGCCACATTTGTATATAGTTGATTTTTCATAATATGTTTTCATTCTTATGATCTGAGAGTTACTTATAAAAACATTTATTCCTGTTTCGAGGATTTTTGGTAATGGAGACGACATTTTGATATTTTCCAGGAATGTTCAAAAAGAAGTTGTAAGCTAATTATTATTTTAAAAAATAAAATCATTAAACCTATACCCCCTTACATTTTTCGCGAACACTCCCTTTAACTAATAGCGTTGTTTTGGGACACCCTGTATATTTTTAGAAATTTTATATTGATATTTTTCATATTCTGAACAGAAACTCCTAAAGAGCACTTGATTCTATTTAACTGTGAAAAGTTTAATTCTATCTAACTCTCAAGAAAAACTTTTTAATGGTAAAAGTCTGGTAACTTTTTCACTATTGTTTTGTTGTTGGTGGAACCGGGTTCTGTTTATGTTTTCTTACTTCTTCTGTAGAGGGAACATCGGATTAAACTTTTTTTAATTTACAGTTTTTACATTTTCTTGATTTAGCCCCGGTTAGACAATTTACATTACATATCTAACTGCAAGGTGGTTATCGTGGTTTTTAATTAATTTTTTATTAAAGTGTTTAATTTTTTCTTTAATGTTGAAAAAACATTTTCTAAGATTGAAAAATATTTTTATCTAAATATCAAAAATGCGAGATCAATTTATTAAGAACATTTAGTGCACGGTGCAATGTGAAATGTCAATTGTGCATGCACGTAAAATCACATTATACGTGACTAAATTCAGGTTCATAATATATTCATAAATTACTCTTAATTCAACCAAATATGAATATCCTTTTAAATTTGAAAACTTTGTGAAGAAGCATTTTGCGGAAAACAGAGGTTAAAACTTTCAGCCTTCATGGCGCGTAAACTTTTAAACTAAAGCGATAATGTGCTAAATAAATCGATTGAACAGCTTTGTTATATTTCGCGATCTTTAAAAGGGCCAAAGCAGTTAACTGGTTGTGACTTTGAAGTAACTTAGCGGGGTTTCCATTTTCATCATGAGAAAAAAATAGTGCAAGATTTGATCTGTAGCTGGCTTTCTTATCTGCACAAATTAAAAATTTATTTTGTTGAATGTTACAACAAAAAATCGTATTGTTAGGACAAAATGAATTTTTATATAGTTAGGGCAATTTTTAACAGAAATTATACTTTTTTCCACAATTTTTATTAAACGCAATTTCTTTTGTGGAAACTCATTCCAGGATCTTTTTATTCATATAAAACCTAGAATTGAATTTTAGAAGTGCTCAAAGAAATGCGAAAAATAGTAAGTTTTTTTTTCATTCATTCATTAATTCAATTTTAGAACAATAAACATAGTTTTTCATTTTTTCGCTATATACTGCCAATATACAGTATACATACATATTACATATTCATAAACCGATAATTCTGCGATATTTTGTCCATATATTACATGTTTAATAAATTGCAACAATTTATATCCATATCCTTGTTTGCTTTCTTAGAACTAATTTTGATTACCAGGAACTATAATTCATTATTAGTTCCAAGCACCTTTCTGGGGTTTAAAGCATCACACTAAAATCCTTATTCTCTTGTTGACACTAAGATATATATATTTTTATTTTAAATGATTAATGATTAATGGACTACCAAGAACCAATACATTATTATTGTAATTATGCTTAATTACAATTAAAGAAACAGTTTGCCAAAAATTAATACAGCGAGTTGAGGTCTCCCCCCCCCCCTCCATACCATGAAAAATATGAATAGATTTTTTGATTTTTAATTATATTTAATGAATAGAAAATGATACAAAATATTTTAACCCTAATAAAAATTTTTTATATTTGATTTTAAATTTTTGAAAATAACTAAAATAAGTGTTAAATTTTCATTATCAGTAATTGAACAACATTTCCCTCAACTTTGCAAACTCTCTCTTTAGAAATAATTAATGCAAACTCTGATCGCCTTCATGGTTATAACCAATAGGTTTATAATGTAAACATTTCCCTGTAATGTTTGTTTTAGCTGGTTTCCCCAGAAGTACAACATTCAGTGGACATGTGCTAGCCATGTCTTTCATACATTTTCTTATTTTCTTCTCTTTAATAAAATATGGGACAGCTTCAGACACAATTAAAGTTGTACAGGGTAGCACGGTAAAACAGATAATTATCTTATAAAGTTGGATCACAAAAATTAATGAATTTTCAGTTTTGAAATGTCGCCAAGGGTTTTGTCATGTATAAATGTCCTAAAATATATCGGTTACACCAATAAAAAATTCAAAAATCCTTTGTCACATTTCTTACAAGGAAGATAATTCTTCCACAGTTTAGTAGGTTTGGTCGCATTATTTTGCATCCATTTTTGAGTCATTTTTTTTAAATTTAATTCTAACTGCAATATTTTTTTTAGCAGATCTTAATTAAAATTCTTATAAGCTTACATAAAAAAGTCTTTGCCCACACAAACTTTTATAATTCCTATATCTTTGCAATCTAATGTCAATTAGTTTGAATAGCTAAGTTTGAAATTTCAAAGGTCTACACCAACAGGTTGCAGAGATATAGAAATGAGAAAATTTGAGTTTGCGGCAAAAACTCAGTTTACACTCTCAGATTGCTAAGATATAGGGATTTGGCGACTTGTTTGTGTGGGGTAAAAATTCTGTTCCTGTTTTTCTACCTAAATTACTTGTATAGTAGAGGCTCCTTGTGTAGTTTACAAAAATGCAATTGAATGCAATTTGAGGAAGTCCCCAATCTAAAATCTTTACTTGAATAGTTTAGAAACTAAGGCCTTTAACTAAAAAATTATTTTTCCCATGGTTTCTATATAATAAAATATACAGTGTTGCGTATAGCAGGCCAAACGGCTGGACCGATTTTTTTTGTTGCTGGTGGGTGTTATATAGGCTATATAGGCTAAAAAAATCGAAAATATTTGTTTCAAAATGTTTGTTTTTTTCATTTTTTCCCCACGGGCGGCACCGGGCTCTTCAGCTAGTTTCTTAAAAAGTAATTTTCATTTTTGAAAAAAAAATGTTAAAATTAGAATATGAAATTTATAATTTTTATTAATGATAGGACGAGGTGGTAAATTTTGAATCTACATTTGAAAATTTTTCTGATGTTTCCGAGTTCACAATTTGCTTCAGATTCAAGCAATACTACACTTCAGAGAGCAAACTGTATAGATTAACCTGTAAGTTATAATAGATAAAAAGAAAAAAATCAATGAAATATTTTATCTTTATTTTTTTTAAATCAATATCTTTGATGCCTAATGTCGCTTCTCAGTTAGTATAGAAATTGTAAATTTGTCCGAGTGATTTTTTATTGATTTTCTAATTTAGCTGAACATGCCATGCCAATAGTTGAAGTTAGCACCAACGTGAATGAGTACACTGGTTTAATTATAAACAATCAGGTAGCTTTTTCATTCACCATTATTTCTGGGTTAAATGTTTTTATATACAATTTATGGAAATAAGTTATTTCAATTTTTACTAATGATTTTCAGTCTAAAATATATGATTATTAGGGGTGATCAATATTAGAATTGAGCCAACCGCCCACTGAAGGTCGCTGCGTTTGCACAAAAAACACATTGCAATAAAAATTTTTTTTATATCGTCCAAAGGATTGTGATTTGATGATTTAATTTCAAGGAATTCACCCAAAAAATGTTTTAAAAGTTTTTATGTTACACATAATTTTCTCCGAAATTTAATGCTGAATTCAAATCTGAAAAGCGCTTTTAAAAATATTGAAAATTGAGTTAGTTAGAGCTAGTCAACTCATCAAAAACATTAAAAAATTTAAAAAACTGGAACTTAGTACTCTTTTTTAACCATTTTAACCATAACTTCTTAAAATTTTAATATTCTTAAAAATGGTTTTCGAATCTGAATTTAGCAAGAATTGTCCATGAAAATTATTTATCAAATTTAATTTTCTGAAATATTTTTTTAATGACTTTTGGTGATTTCTCACATACTAAATTGCAAACCGATGGACGATTTTGAAATTTTTTATTATTGCAATATTTTTTTAAGAAAAAACGTAGCGACCTCCGTTGGATGGTTGGCTGATTTACCCATTCAGGAAATTTTGATAAATCCATCCTGGGATCCATTGTTCTGGCATCCTGTCTGTTTGGTCTGCAACCTCAACACTAGAAACTGCACCTTTATATCTGATAATGAGTTTTCTGCTAATATTAATGCAACTAGCATATTTCCGACTGAATCATTAGATTTCAGTGAATGCAAATTAACACTTCTGGACAATGCCCAAGGACTTATTACTGATCTTCAAATGTGGAGTACAGCTCAAAATGGTTTGTACTTTTTTGTTTTGTGTTTGATTAAAAATAAAAGTAATACATGAGTTTGTCAAGTACAACAAATTTTAACAATGCAAAGATTTGTTAATAGTATCTTTAGGGTTGTTAATCGTTTTTAAAAATGAAAAAAATCATGTTTCATTTCGTTATTATTTTTTTGAAAAAAAAACACTCGTTTTGAATTTTCAAAAAACAAAAAATGATGGTTTTATAAGAATACGAAAATGAAAGTGTTTGAAAATGACAATTTTTTTAAATTATCTTTTTTTAAAACGAAAAACTATCGTTGTTGAAAACTATCATTGCTCAAAAGCAATATTTTTTTATCGATCGTTTTAAAAGCATTCGTTTCGTTTTTTGTTTTTTCTTGATTTTTTCAAAACAAAACGATCTTTTTCAAAAAAGTGGAAACGATCCATCCCTACTTGTGTTTAAACTACTGCAATATGCAAATTTATTTATTTTCATCTTTTTCTTTTTTGTAATTTTTCGTATTGCAGCACTACATGTAAATAATGCTAGGGTAATATTTCAAACAAAATACTAAATGTTTACTTTTTCCACAAAAAAAGCTCTTTTTTTGGAATCCATGGGTTTAATTCATTTAAATGTTTACTTTAGAAAATGATCTAAGAAGCTGGTTTAGATGTGAAAATAGTGAAGGAGGTGATATATTAAGTTGGGCAGAGGCTGAGTGGACTGGAGATTCACTAGATCAAGACCTTGATGATATCTGTGAACCACCTAAACCTGGCATTGTGTTTATGGGCTATGACATGAGCTATAAGGAGGGGAAAACACTTTGCAACAGTCTTCAAGCTACTTTTGTAAACTTTGACAACATTAAGGATATTGAATATGCGGTTGCAGAACAAGAGGAACGTTCTGATTTCAGGGTAACCTACTGGACAGGGTTCACATACAATGCAGATAACAAAAATTACCAAATGTTGAATGGTTCAGATTTTAACTTTACAGATAAATGGTCAGCTGGGGAACCAAATGGTAAAGGTGTCCAGACATGTGTTGTCTTACTTGTTTTCAACAACACCTACTCCTTTAAAGATGAATACTGCACAGATAAATACAAGTTCTTCTGCAGATTTGAAGAACTTCCAACATTATATTTACAAATGGACAGTCATAAATACCAACTGGACAGTATGTACAAGTATGATATTGATACAAACACTTTCCTTGGTGTCCAATATGGAAATATAGAAATAGTAAACGATACCTGGACAATAGTTTCACATGAAGAAGATGTTATTGCTTCAACCTTGTCCATACCTGGGTTGCCTTTGGGGAACAAGACATGGAATTTTTATCGAACAAATGAGTTTGAAAGGATAATCTTGCATGCTTGCCTAGATCATCAATTTCCATGCCAAAATGGAATATGTTTGGACGAGATAAAGAGATGTGATTCAACTTTTGATTGTGGAGGATATGATACTTCAGATGAGGATGGTTGTGATCTGATTGAAAAGGTTACTGGATACACGGACATCAGGATACCCTCAGGTTTAAATGGAACTTTGTTTACCGTCAAACTAGGCTTTAAAATGATTGACATACTGTCTGTTGACATGAGCACAAGAACCTTTGAGATGAAGTTTCAAATTCAGACTAAATGGAGAGACACAGGGCTTGTTTTTAAAAATTTAAAAGACAATACAATGAATGTTCTAGATTCTGATGTTTGGAAAGAAATCTGGAATCCGAACCTATTATTTGTGAACACTGAAGGTCTTATAAGTGCAGCTGAGCTAAACAGTAATGTTTACAGCTTTGTCTTCGCTGAGAAGAAAGGATCAACAAGTAAAAGAATGTCATCTCTTATTTCTGACTTTGTTCTAACTGGACACCGTGTAGATATTGTAAAAAATTCATCTTATAGTCAAACCTTTATCTGTGAGTATGATACTGTCTACTACCCTTTTGATATTCAAAATTGTTTTATAGAACTGGAATTGTATGTAGCAGATAAATCTGGTCTGAGGTTTGTTATTGGAGATGTGGAGGCCCCAGCTACTTTTACTTTTCAAGACTTTGATGTTACCAACTGGTTCATGGAGGAGGAATCTAAACCTTTTGACAGCACTGGGGGTCATTACCAAGTTATTAAAGTCAATTTCACGTTGAAGAGAACCTTAGCCCAAGCATTTATGAAGGTCTTCATGCCCAATATCATCCTTCTGGCAATTTCTATCATTACCAACTACTTTCTGGGTCAGGATATGTTTGATGCTGTTATAAATATAAATGCCACAGTTCTGATGACAGTTGCTTCTTTATTTGTTGATTCTAGCAACTATCTTCCACCCTCAGTTGAAATTAAGTAAGACTTGTTGTTCGAAGCCAAAAAAATGTTTTGAATTGTTGCTGTAGTTGAAAATTTGAAAATTTTAAGTTTAGCAGATATTCTTCTGAACATTTTCTGGGTCGTCACTGAACATATAATAGATAATCAATATATAATTAAGGATGATGGATGTTTGGAATATTGTAATGTTTCTGGTACCCTTGATTATAATTGTGACCCACACCATCGTCCATGTAATCGACAAGAGGAAGCTGCACAAGGCAACCACATTTAAACAGATGCGAGGAGTATTGATGATGTTCGGTCAGTTTATCTTACCTCTCCTTGCTACACTCTTTATAGCCATCTTTTTTCTTGTGGGAGAACGGAATAAGATGTAAATTGACAAGGAGGGGGATAGGCTGTATCCACCTCCCTGAAAAGAAAGATGGATTTTTTCTTAAAATTGAATAAACCTATTCTTGGATAAAGTCGCTTTTTAAGGAGTATATATATTTTTCAATCTTGCATGTTCTTATTCTTTCTCTAAATGTATATAGAAAATAAACACAAAAATGACAACGTAAATATCAAGCTGATAGACAAATAGTAATTAAATATTAAAAAGTTTTGGAAATACATATTTTTGTATTGCAATGATTTGCTTTTGTTATTGGTACAATAAATTAAGACAACGACATAATTTAAACGAGGAACATAAGTAAATATAGAATATCACTTGTTAGTCAGTACATAAAAATAAATGATCTCATTAAATTCATGGTGTAATTGAAATCGTTAACAGATCTAGAAGTTCTTAAATGAGAGGTATTTTCCAATTCTGATCATTTGGTAATTTTGAAAACATTAAGTTTTATCTGACAACATTTTTAGACAAATTGTCTACTAACACATTACAATCGTCTGTAATTGTATTCAGATTTTTACATAAAACTGTGCGTTGACAATTTTTAAACAAATTATAAAGTAAACGAATGCATGACTTATTTGTACTGTTCTGTCTTTCAGAAAAGGCAACAAATCTGCACACTAATAAAGTTTATATGTGCAAGCATCTAGAAATTTGCTTAATAAAGTATTTCTGGGAACATTAAATAAAATTTAAATGGAATCATTTCATGCAATATATAATTTCAAAACCTTTCTTATTGTGAGGTAGTCCTAAAATTGGGATCCTTAGAAATCACAAGCATAAATATTGTACAGTTTGACTATGGTTACAGGGTCGGTAAAGTAAAATTCTTGTTCTAAAGAATGAAGTTTAGAAATTAGCTTTGCACGCATAACATTACAGTCATTGGTCATAGAATTATATCTGCAAAATATTTCCAAAATGTTTAATATCACTGACATACGGAAGTTGTTGTCCATTTAAGATAATTTGTAAAATTATATCAGTGTTCAAATTTTTTTAGTGAATATAAAACGTATAGTTTTTGATTTTTTAAACTTATATCTTCTGCAAAAGTTTCCAATATTGTTGTCATACTTTGTAGCCCAGCGCAGCTTTGAGAAAGTAGAACAATATCATCTGTATATATCCATATACCTAGATATATAACACTGAGCTGACAACCAATATCAGATCTACGTAGTTGAGATATTAGCTTTTTTATTTAAACACAGAATAAGAAAGGATATGTCACTGCTCCTTGTCATACTCCATTGCTAGTTAGTAACAGAGTTCCAGGCAATAAGATCAAATGCCTTGATCAGATCCATAGAGCAGGCAATAACATGTTTTCCTGGTCTATTGTAGTAAGCTACAACACTCACAATTCCCCTTGTACATAATGATGAACTGGAGTTGGTCTGAACCCCATCTGAAGTTCATCAGTACTCAGGTTTTCTTCTTCTAAGATAATGATTAACCAATCGAACCACTTTAGAATAAGGCTTCCAATAGCTAGGGCTCTATATTTATCACTTCTAGTTATATCTTTTCTCTAAAACCATTTAAATAAATTTGTCACGTGTTGCATTAGTTCTTTGTTTTTTTTGAGTGGGTTTTGGGATGAACAAACCAGAATAAGGCCGGTTAAATTTTTATTTTTCCAGTCAAACAAAATTGAAAGCCAACTGAAATGTCGTGTACAATCCCTTTAACTGTTGATTTTATTGTAAAAACAGATAATTTCAATGGCAAAGTTTGTTCTATAGTTTTAAAGTTTAATATAAATGTTAGCAAACTTTCTCATTAGAGAAGTATTATATACATCCATAAATCTAAATTATGAGAGCAAATAGACTTTTAAATTCAAAAATTTCAAAGGGGAAAAATATATTATATAATTATTTTCATAGAGTGAAAGTTTGTCTGATTGATCGCAAATCTGTAGAAAGCATTAATTTGATATCTACAATGAGAACCAGAAAACTGTGGAATAGGAAGACGACATGAAAGCAATGATCAAAACGTATTTTATGGTGTTAAAAAAATATTAAATAATTTGACTCGTAGCTCTCTATAGGATACACTGCTATACAGAATACATGTGTGCATGTAAACATATGTTCTGTACAATTGCACACAGTCCAGGGATTTGAAGATTGGATTTAATTGTTGTACAACTTTTACGGTATTTTTTTATGTTCAAGTTTCGGCGAAGCTTAACTCAAAATAAAATTATTGGGACGGTCAAATCAGCATTTGCCGCCAATGCTTTAAGGGAAAACGTTCTTGCCTCTGCTGGTTTATTTTTATATTTTCTTTGATCCTTGCAGCTAAAAGATTTCTGCCAAGTATATTGAATACAAAATCTAAAAGCTTTGAAAAGAGAAAATGTTTTGAAAAAATAAGATTTCATTTTTAATTTCCGAAATTCTATAGTGTGTTCTCTGTTCCGGTTCTGCTCCCTGACAATAAATATAAGAAAAAACTTAGTAAATTAAATAAAACTAAGAGATCATTCAAAAATAATTGAATTTTCTCAATTTAAGAAAAGTTCTGTAAACTGGATCAATATCATATAATAAATAAAAGAGGAAAGTAAAAATTTCCAAGAAATAAAATTTTAACCATCCAAGAGGCCAGTTCTGTTCAGCTGATAGTTTGATGAAATTGTCGGCGATTTTTTATTTCAATTGACTTTAATTAGCACTGTTAAAAATCTTGTACCGGCCTTGAACATGTACTTCCGGATTAGAACCCGTATACTTAGAACTTTAAAAGTAGTTGAACCGATGGTAGGTCGTTCAGCGACCTCTCTCAAATTTATTAAATTCGGTCGTTTGACATCTGAATCACATATGCAACTAATAAACTGGACGAGGGCTCTTTTGTCTTTTTTTCAAATCTTTATTTATGAAGTTGAATCCAAAAACTTTGATTTCCACAAACTCAAATCTTTGCAACCAAATGTCGTAGATGCAAAGATATAAGGATTCAAAAATTAGAGTTTGTTGCAAAGACTCAATTCATTTTCTTTGTGTTTGACATTCATAGCATGAAATTAATTTTGACAGCAATGTATAAATCAAGATAGACGTTTTCACTGTTTTGCGAAATATAGAATGCATAAATTTAAATTTCAGCCTAGCTTTCAGTACAAGTGCAATTTATAAATAAATTATCTCAGAAATATTCTATAAAAACCTGACATCTTGAGTCAACTTTCTTACAAACTAAATATTATAAAGAAAGTATATAGAATTAACCCTCTAATCCTAATATTGATATAAAACTGTGTTAAAATTATACGAAAATTCATATATGTAAAATTTAGAAAATCTTAAACTTAAATCACGTGACCAAAACTATCACCAATGGCAGAGCAGTATACTGGTCACGTGTCTCCGCCCGTATCACGTGACCACTTTACTGCACTGCCATTGGTGGAATTTCCGGTCAAGCCATACGGACGTATAAATAATATTATGAATTAAATCTATAAAAAATAGAAATAACAAATATAAAATTAGAATTTAGAAGTTACAATTAGCTTTCTCTGGGATATCATCGTTTTCAGATTGGTTGCATATTTACTGAATTTGATCTTTTTAAACCAGTGACTTTTATACAAAATTGTATATATATTAATTTTCGTATAAATTTGACAAAGTTGTAAATCAATTTCTCGAGATAGGAACATCAGATATAACTTTCATGGGTCACGATCGAGAGCTAAAGTGATTGGCTTTCAGCCTATACCCCCTTTCATTTTTCCTTTAAAGTAAAATTTTACAGCTTCAATTATTACAAGAAAGAGCGCTTTACAAATTAAAGAGTTATGTCAATGAAGAAAGTTACAACCTACATTTTTTATCGCTTAGTTCAAATTGTACAGAAAATATTTCGACTGAAAAAGTACACATTTGTTGCACTTTATTTTATTCGTCATATTTGATCTTCTACCGACCAAAAATCATCTTGTTAGGTTTGCGTGTCAAAAATATCATGTTATAATATCTATTTATTCTTTCATTTTTTCCCTGAATATCCTTGACTAATATTGAAAGTAAACTATGTTGTGTACAATACATTATAGAATGGTATGATGGAGTGTGCAGGAGAGTGAGAACTTATGTTCAACCAAGAAATCCAGAGTTATACAATTCCATTCACTCATGTTATTAATAGTATTGAATCATGGTAAAAACCTTTATTTTTATTTCCTGCAACAAAATAAAATAAGCAGGTTCATAACTAGCCGATTTGCCTCACATTTTAATTATGAAACTCGGTAGAACTTTGGGCAACATTTTAGTTTGGTTCAATTGTTAATATGATTTTTAAAGAGAAAGTTCAATTTTCATGCAATGCGCCTGGTTCAGAAGATTATAAATACACAAATGCAAGGTAAAAAAGGCAAGGAAAGTTATTTCAGATGTGTAAGCATTTTTTGTTACTATAGTGTACTGTCTTTGGGCGGAAAGGTAAACACAAGACGGATGTCACAGCCTGACAAGGAATCAATTTTTACAAAAATAAACTATGACATATTCTGGTCTTAGGAAACTATTACATGAGTTTTCAAAATTATCAAAATTAAATGCTTTTAACCTCCTCGGATACTATACGAACACTGATGCATCTATTCTTGTTTACAAATTCCTCCCAGAGAGAACTAGTTTCAAAATGTACGCAGAGTATACGCAACTGCAATTAACTTTCCTTGCATTAGTACCTTGCAAAAATGTAACTTTCAGGAGTGAAATATAAATATTTAATTTAAACCTGTTTCTTGTTTTATTACCACCATAATGTATTTGATAAACCAAAATGAAGTTGAGACGATAACAAAATAAAGATTCTCCCTTTCATGTCTACTATTCTCTTTCTGGTAGCAATTTAGGCCATCCTTGCTTTAACAATGAACTTTTTTTATGTCTCCTTACAGCACAATATAAAAAACATTTTCATGTTTGTTTGCCGGTAAATTGGTCAAAGTTTTAGAAAATCAAAATATTTCTAGTGGGATTTTTAAATCCTTACGTGCCAAAACCCTTTCCAGTGTGGATGATGTG